ACAGGCACGCGCCACCATGCCCAGCTAATTTTTTGCATTTTTAGTAGAGACGGGGTTTCACCATGTTGACCAGGATGGTCTCGATCTCTTGACCTCGTGATCCACCATGCCTGGCCAAATGCCCTGCCCTCCTCCCCACCCATGCTTATGGCAACAGTCTCGCTCTGTTGCCCAGGCTGGAGTGCAGTGACATGATCTCGGCTCACTGCAGCCTCCACCTGCCAGGTTCAGGCAGTCCTCCTGCCTTAGCCTTCCGAGTTAACTGGGATTACAGGTGCACGCCGCCACACTCAGCTAATTTTTGTATTTTTAGTAAAGATGGCGTTTCACCACGTTGGCCAGGGTGGTCTTGAACTCCTGACCTCAAGTGATCCACTCACTTCGGCCTCCCAAAGTGCTGGGATTACCGGCCTGAGCTACCTCGCCCAGCCAGCTCCAGGCACTATTCTAAGCCAGTCTTTTTTTATCTTTCTTAACTTTCTTAACACTTCTCTGTTCCACAGATGAAGAAACTGAGGCACAGAAATTAAATATAACTTGCCCAAGGTCTCACAGCTAAAACATGGCAAAACAGGGTTCCAGCATCTTTCCGTATTTTTTTCAAATGTTTTATGTACTATCCCAGATCACTGATCTAATGACAGACAGGACACCTGCTGTTGGAGCTGGGCACTGATGGGGCATTTGGGGTATATCTGTAAACAAAGATCCCTGCCTTTTGGTTATATACTGATTTGATGAGTATGTTAGGACGTGGAAGCACCTACGTTTATTTAGACTATTTTACTGTGCCACCTGTCTCTTCACTGTGGTATGAGTTAGAAGGTAAAATTTTCCTGTTACAGTTATTGTGCATTCAGCTCCATCCTTTTTTCTCCATAGTTAATCTTTTTTTTCTTTCCTAAAGAAGACGGAGTCTCGTTGTGTCACAAAGGGTGGAGTACGGTGGCGCGATCTCAACTCACTGCAACCTCCGCCTCCTGGTTTCACGCGATTCTCCTGCCTCAGCCTCCCGAGTAGCTGGGATTACAGGCGCCGCCACCACCACCACAACTGGCTACTATTTGTATTTTTAGTAGAGACAGGGTTTCACCTTGTTGGCCAGGCTGGTCTCAAACTCCTGATCTCAAGTGATCCTCCTGCCTTAGCCTCCCAAAGTGCTGGGGTTACAGGCATGAGGCGCTGCGCTGGCCCCACAGTGAATCTTAAATAGCAAATATGACCATTGCGACTTCTTCTCCAGTGCTCTGATGGAGATGTTAATGAGGAGGAAAATTGCCAGAAAAATCTGTCCAGAAACGTGGTTTCTGAACAGTAAAGAATTATGTGTATTCCTGTGTTTCTTTTTGTTTGTATGGCAAAGGTTAATGACAAAACCAGGTGTTTTTGGGAGGACATTAAAAAGAGAGTTCCCAGGCAATGAGAAGTGTCTTTGTTTCTCATACTTTATATTTTAGAATCTTAGACTTTAAAATCATTTGTAACCAGAAAAATAGTACATACTTAGAAAATGTAAAAATCATTAAGATGTATGAAAAGCTGAAAGCCCCTATGTAATTACTCTACTGGGCATCAGATTTTAGAGGCCTTTGGAATGCTAACATTTGCATTTTACTTTGTAGATACTAAAGAGTGATGAGTCACTTTATATCTTAGTGACCACAGAGTTCTAGGAAGCTTCCTTGGGTGTGTTGTGGTGTTGAGGGCAAACAAGAGTGGGGAGAGTATCAGGAAGGAGTTCAGGCAGGCTCACTAAGACCTGGCAGGTCCGCATAACTAATCAGTAAGTTCCTGGGCGAGGTGTGTAGCAAGGGAAATGAGAAGGTGTTTTTGTCCAGCTGAAGAGTTAGCGAAGAAGTCAGCACCACGCTCAGCAGAGCTCTGGGTTGTGGGGGGATTTTGTTCTGTTGTTGTTATTACGATACCAGGATCAGAAAACAAATTGCAGATTTTAAGGGCTGGACAGGAGCACCCTCTTTGGATAGTTGCTGGAGTCCACTGCAGAGTTTGTGCTGTTCCCCAACTCGTGTGCCTTCCACTAATGCCATGGTATTGAAGAGTGAAGCCATTGATTTATTTTTGAAAGGTTATACGTTCTCAGAATACTGATACATCAATATTAATCATTTTGAAGTTTTTTTTTTTTTTTTTTTTTTTTTTTTTTTTTTTAGGTGTATTTTTTTTCTTATTCCCCAGTCTGGAATGCATTGGCGAGATCTCAACTCACTGGGACCTCGCCTCCCGGGTTCAAGTGATTCTCCTGCCTCAGTCTCCCGAGTAGCTGGGATTACAGGCACCTGCCACCATGCCTGGCTGATTTTTGTATTTTTAATAGAAGCAGGGTTTCACCATGTTGCCAGGTTGGTCTCAGACTCCTGACCTCAGGTCATCCGCCCGACTTGGCCTCCCAAAGTGCTAGGATTACAGGTGTGAGCCACCATGCTCGGCCTCATTTTGAACTTCTAAATGTCTTAGCAATATACAGTTTGGGGCAATGAAATGTTCAGCCTTGGGAACCATGTATCTCTGTCTAGTGTAGCCTAAAAAACAGTATTCCTGTTGTGAAGGTGTTTCCAGTGC